TACACCAAATACGTCATAATAACCATTAAAGGCAGGCAAACTCTGATTACAATTCCTTTCTGTAAATGACTTGTTAATATTACTATCTATGAACAGGTAAACTATATATCGTATTCAAGCAATATACATAACAATCAAGTATATATAGTGTTATATAACCTCTACAGAAGTGAAAATAATATACCTAACCGTAAATCAACTAAGGTCACAAAGGGAATTTACAAGATATTGAACAGAATACAATTACAGGCGAAATACAGATAATACATTACAAAACTGTTAAAATCATTGAATAAAATATACATAGAGTCCAATGTTTACAACCAAGGGGTGATCATATACTAGTACTGCTCCACATATGACATAATTCTTTTGTAATGGGCTGCCCATGACTACGTCCATATTTGAATTGACAATAATGACTTTATAGTTATCATTATCAAATAATGGCCATAGAACATATACTGGATATTTTCTAGACTGTGTACCATTTTTTTGTTTTCAGTTGTATCTTCACTTATGAAACATTTGACGTTATCAAGATAAAGAAAGTGAACGCTCAAGTGCAAGTAATAAATCATATTCTTCTCTGTCAAGGCCTGTAAAAAATAAACAAAAGAATAATAATAATAACAATAATGATGGATAATGCCAAACATATGTGTTTCAATTATTCTGATTGTTAACACGGAAATATCTGTAACTATCGATCTTTTTAATTATTTCGATTTTTATTTTCAATAAAACATATCCAGAATCCACTAGTGCCAATTTGTAACTGCAATCGCCACAGTATGAACACTGAAATAATATCATAAACGATATATACCAACGCTGTACATTAAATCACTTGCAAAGATGGTCGTGGGGTTGAGTCCAGAGGGAGCCATCCAGTTTTGTCAAGCGAACCTCAGAGCCTACGGTACAGGATGACAATTTAACGGAGCCTTAAGTGAAGTGTCAAATACGTCGCCGGCTTGAGAGGGTAAATCAATCTCTAACTGTCAGCCTCTCACTGATGATTTTATGTGTATATTACTATAATAGTTTGCGTCGTGCATCATAATTATCTACAGCTACCATCACGCGGCCGATCGCAACAAAAATAGGGTGACGTTGTCGATGCACTTGTGTCCAAGCAATAGTTCGGAAAGATTTGGTAACTTATGTAGTTGTATTTAAACAAACAAATGTTCAAAAATACAGCTTTTGCCACTTTAGTATTTACCTTCTCTCCTGATAGGACGTGATCTTTTTGTTGACTGGTTCACTTGTGTCATTGCAGAAAAATCGAAGTTATAACTGAAAAGGAATGTGTTTCATGTAATATATTATTAATGTATTTTAAACTTATAACTTATAACGGTAGAGCTAGCTAACTCTCATATGTTATTGTATTGCTTGTTGAAGCAGTCAACAAAACTAACAGTAAGTAAATTATTAATTCAGCGTGGATGAGGTGCGCGATGACGTCATTTGGGAAACGATCTGCAGAACTATTCATATTACAAACAGTCTGCTTAAATATATTCAGTGCGTAATTGACAAATCCTGGCTGAGAACAGAAGGTGGCGTGTTTTTGTGAACTCATTTATGTCTGTGAAGTGTCAGACTACAGCGTCTTAAGACTTACGTATAATCCCCAATTTTGATCGACGTACATCCTTTGGGATTCTTATTGTAGCTTTCCTCCACTTGTGGACCATATGGCTCATCAAATAGCCTCCATTGTTGATGGTTGTCTTTCCAGCGCCATGCCATCACAGTCTCTACAGCAGGATATCAAGCAGAAATCAAACTATGTATTCAAGACATCCAATAACACATGGACAATAATACATTTGAAATTGCATATGTCCATACCTGTAATTGGCATCACCTGTGCATATGTTATCTCTGGTTCACGTCGTACGGTTGTCGTTGCTGTTGGTGTTGTCTTTGGCAAAACTGTGGATATTGTAATATCATCATCGTCGCCTATTTCAACAATTTCTGTCGGCCCAGCTGCGTCGATAGATGAGACAGATTTTTCAACTCTACCTACTATATTTCCATCACTGAAATAATAAATATGTGATGGGTACTGTGGTGAGCAAAAGATTAACAATGGCTATACTGTCTATATTACTTTCAAAAATATAAAATGCTGACGCCAGCCGTATGTTACTACATGTGTATATGCACGTATGGTTTCCTGACATGCAAATTCACAAAAACTGTCAATCTTGCCTCATGAATATTCGTAATATACTACATTATTCTTTCAGTTTGTTTCTTTTTGTTGGCGTACGAACTATTGGCCTAGAAACAGTTGACTACATTGCAGTGTTATACATTATTTATGGGTGGTTGACGTCTCAGCTGTTTGATAATTTTATTTCAATATTATTTACAAACAAAGTAGATAATAAATACAACTTCAGCATACGTGCAGGTACAATGTGGAGGTAAAAATCACAAAATATTTGTATGTGAACAACTGAGACGAACATTTACAGGGTCCAAATGTCGATTGATTTGTTTGATACTGCCCAATGCATATCAGAAAGTTGTCTTAATTACTGACTGTAAATAAACAACGTGCATTTGTATGTAAATAAAAGCATAACACAAAACCGGTTCATATTTACCCTAGTATCTTCAAATCATAACAATTGTCTCGGCCATGACGATAGTCCGCTTTTACACCATTTGACCACCTAACCTGTTTGAAAAAAGATGAATAATACTCCGATATATCCAATATGAGTCATGTGACAATGTTGCATTATCAAGAACAACATTCTAAGAGTTTCAAAAGTCAATTGCGCCAAAAACTGAGAAGTTACATTTTATGCGAATGACAAAACGGGTGAAATATATCAATGTCGATTCACAAAAGTCCCTTATAATAATTTTCTGACCTGCACCAGACCTTTGGTTGCGCCACTGTGTACTTTATATACAACGCCAGTATTACCTGAGCCGCCATCTTGGTCATCCCATTTCCAATCTTTCCCTAATGTTGTCAGATAACAGAAATGTGGTCGATTTATCGCGAGAGCAAAATGACAAGTTTTCGTAAAAATATATCAACACACAAATGTTTTGAATATCACGCTGGGAATATATTGATCCTGTATGTACGTCATTGGTGCAAACAATCTGGTCCGCCACATCGTTGAGCCTGTATTTTACATTTCCATTGCAAAACATCTTCAGTAGTGATTAATATGATAGATACATACCTCTTTGAACTCTGACCCCGACCTTGATGTCATCTCCGGGTTGTATTATACGAGGCTCATCAACAACCTGGAATTCAAAAGTAACTATATCAATGTTTTGATTTTCAATGTGCATACTAATATTTGCTTCCATTTTATTTAAGCACAATGTACAATACAACGTACAATGGTTAATACCTTTACATCACGAGATCCCTCCGCACCATACCTGTATTGATTACCATCTCCATGGTCCCACTGCACTCTAAGAACCCCTGCAATTTATAAAAATGGGCATGCATAGAAGGCATAGCACTGACTCAAGTTTCCATTGGTATTAATAAACATTTGTATTATCACCATGGTAACTCCAGTGCCTTCATTAGTGCAAAATGTGTTTACAATGACGGCATGGTCTTGCGCACGAGTTATGAATGTTTTAATGTACATATTCAATACAAATTGAAAGCTAAAAATATAAGCAATAATTTAATTCCGTGTTCATTCTCAGGACTCAATATAAGCTTATGAATTCACCGGTGAGGGCACAATTACTATTGCAGACCCAATGTCTTTGCACCTAATATATTCGTACCCGTGTCACTAGCCTAGTCAACTTCTTGTAGTCTTTTCTGTGGATCCGGAAAACAATAGAAAGTTAAGCAGAATTTACGAACATCTCTCTTCAAAGTTGTTACGGCCTTTATACTAAGATAATTTTATCGTCGTTTACGATTTTAACCAAACTCATCGTTCAAATATACTCGCGATAATTCATTCAAGGTTTGACTTCGGTTGTGGCAGTATTTTTCCCCTCGCCATGGAGTTGAGTTTGACACGTACTATTAAACACACAGTCATGGTTTTCGAGAGAAAAAATGATTTCATTGGTATTTGGGATCGTTCATACATGTAATCTAGATTTTATAATTCACAAACTATTGCCAGCATTAACGTAATGATACCTTATTTTTTAGACAGCCGTGAGTAAGGGTGATTTTATCAGTGTTGTGACTGCTCGCATAACGCGTTTTAAACTTGTCATTCTTTCTTTGAACGAGGGAAAAGCTTTGCATGCGCCAGATCGATAAATAATTAAAATCAAAAGCTCCCATGAACCCCGGACATTCATGAAAATAATATTGCGTACATGCGCAGACGAGTACACGCTAATAATGATTCCATCGAATCCAATGCATAAGTGCACGAAAGTATTTTCAAGATGGCGGCTTCTTTACAGTCTCGTAATTCCATAAATGTGTCATATTTGACTGAGTAATGAGTATTTAAGGTAAATAAACTGGGGTCGTCCGAACCAGTTGGTTCTCGTCACTGATTCATTAGTAACTTGAACCTGTAACCTGCGTTTTGTATCTAGGTTTTTCCTCACAGCACACAAACTGAAATTCTAGTCGTGTCGTGTGTCCGAGCGTAGTCAGGAGTGATTGTTTAGCATAAAACACCATGTTTATTATTGCCAAAATTGCATAAATGACTTTTAACTGTCTCATCGTTAGTCAACTTTTATCAGGCTTCTCCGGTACTGCTGGTTTAGCAAGGGCGGCACAGACTGCCCGGTACGCCCCTGTTGTGACGTCAGAACGGAAGCAGGGCATTCAAAATAACTATGAACAAGCGACCTGATAGTCGAAATACTTCCGCTGACTTACAAAAACATTGTGTTAGCCGAGTCGAACAACGCATACAAAATGACAAAAATATTTGCCACACAGAGAGAATTGAAGTTATGTTCATGATATTAACAAATCTGACAGAGATAAATTCAAGGTACCTGCATACCAAGAATCACAGCAATTGAGCTGGTAGAAGTCGAAAATTAAAAAAATACCAAAAATGACAACAATATTCGCCAAAATTAGAGAATGTAAGTTATCGTCATGAATAAACAAATAAACAAACGTATCTACCTACATACCAGGTCAAACCAATTGAGCTGGTAGTTTTTTTTCAACGGTCAATCACCTATATGAACAGCTCCGCTCTATCATCTTTGATGACAGTTGAGATAACAAAATATTTACAATATTTGTGTAAATTGTAAAATATGTGTTTTGCTCATCCTTGTTTTGGCTGCCTTGTTTTTTTCAAAATTATAAAATACTATTTAGTTCTGACAATATTCAGTATACCATACAGTTACCAAATAGATGTATGTAAACTCTGTAATGTTACTATATTGTATGAAACTGAGGCATGAATGTCTCTTTCTCGCCAATGTGGGTAATTATGAATTATCGCTCTCTACCTGGTGAAATGTGTTCTACTACGGTACCAACACCGTGCTTGTCCTGGTCTTTCCATTTCCAGTCTTTTCCTCTTCTTACTCTACTGCCTAGAGTCGGAAGACTATCTATCTCCTACAAGAACAAATTATGGACGAATAAATGTACTAGTATATACTGCTATCAATCTTAACAACGCAACAAGTGCCATATTATACCTTGCTTCCCTGCTCGTCGTCATCTTCGAGACCCATCATCAACAGTAACATTGCCAGCATGGCTTTTCCTTCATCCTCATCAACAGCTTCACCGAGACTTGTCATGAACTGACGCAGCATGAGTAAAGATCGAAGACTCTTCAAATCTATGAAGACAAATAAACCAATATATCATAATACGCTAATAATGATGTTCTGGTCAGTACGAAATACACGTACTCACCTAGCATTGGATACTTACCATCACCGAATTTCGTGGCAAACCGAATGAGTAACACCTTGAATGAATAAAAAGATGAGACACATTTAGATATATGTTTATATATCTCTAACAGGTCATTTGTAAATATAAATTAAATATGATATTGATTTTCATTGAGATTCAGGGTATATTAGTATGTCGTACCTGACGCTTGAAGAATCCACTGAGTTCTTCGACGTTATCAACCACCACAAACATACCATTTGTTAACTTGGCGATTGCTTGCAAAAGTTCCTTTTTTCAATAATTGTAATGCATGTTATTATTCATTCATTTTATGGTGTTTGAAGGTGGCAGGCAAAAGCATATTTCGTTCACACTAGTATTTCTGCTGGAATTGATAGGCTCATAGTATAAAATGTTAAAGCGGGAGGGTCGTCACCTGCGTACGCGCGGAAATTGAGTTCCAAGCGACGATAAAAACACATGCTAAAAACGCAAAGGCTCACGGGCAGACGCTTGTTTGTAAACAATGACACGCTATGGCCACCTGACGCATGCGCAGGTCACGACTCTCCCGCGTTAAGCAGATTGTTTAGACTCGGTGCTCATTAAAAACCAGCAGAGTATGTGAAAAACATTGTCCTTGTCGTACTGTTGAATTACTGAGGTTAACAAGCATATAACCCAATTTAACGAAGTTCGTGTCGAATTCATTTGAATCAAAATGTCAAAACAAAAATCTTTCAACACATAAAAATATGCTCCCATCCACTATTTAACAAAATATATAAATTTGAAAATGCGCGTCTCCATTTGTTGAATACAATTAAAATGTTGAAATTCTTTTAAAAAATGTGAGGAGGCTGACCTATATTTTGGAATCTTGCCATAAACCCCAAGGGCTAATAAAAACACACCCACACTAAAGTAGAATAATTTATAATACTGCTGAATTGTTAGATGTTTGATTTATATTGTTTTACTAAGGATTACATTAGTGCTATAAAATGCACCCTAACATGTAAATGATTACTTTTAGCCTGTAGAGTTATTCAAAATACACCAATTAGGCTATACTTACGGGGTCGCAATCGCCGCATCCCACACACGCGATTGGTATCGGATGTGGCAGTCCTACTTCTTTCCACCCTGGTCCGAATGCTGCAGCTGCTTTTAAAACTTCCATCTTTGCCTGAAATTATCAACCAATACAATATCTAATAATGCATTTATAACATCGTTTTTAGCCACTAAACCTTTTAAAATTGATTTATTAATCTATTTTCAACAAAAAGTATTAGTAAAGTAAACTTTTGTAAAATTTACAACTACGACTCTTGAATTGCGGCCGAATAAATTATGATTATAAATTATGCAATTAAAGCAGCAATCACTGTAGCTATCGATATTTCTTCGATTGGATGAAGCATAGTTTTATATCTGCCATTAGAAGACCTGTGATTCAGTCCCAAAACTGAACAAACTGGTTTAAGTATCCAACGATTACGAGTGTACGATCGACTGATCACAACAGGCAAACCCTGTACAAGTACTAATACGAATTTCCATATTAATAATACTGCACATTTTTTGCGAGAAAATTCTGACCTCTCAAAATATGTAATGCTAGTTTTTCTCAAATTAAACCCGAAATAGAAATCATTATACTAGTATATATATCGCAAAATAGTGAAAATTGGGGAAATAAATTTTCACACATTATTATACTAATTTTGTGAACACTCTATATCGACGTTTTACATTAAATCACTTGCAAATGAAAAAAGATGGCCGCGGCGTTGCGTCCGGGTCTTCAGAGGGCGTCATATATTGAATCCAGTTTTGTCAAGCGAACCTCGGGTAATACGGTACAAGATGACAACTTTATCGGGGGCTCTGGGCGAAATGTCGAATACGTCGCCATCATGAGGAGCTAAACCTTTCACTGAAGATTGTATGTGTTATTTCTCATAATACTGTGTGTCGTGCATCACAATTTTCACGGTTTCAATCACATGATCGATTTCAATGAAATGGCGCATACTCGACCCTTAAGTTTCACGTGACATTAATTAGTCTTGTGTAGGGTCCCTTTGTCCATGCAAAATTGTATTGTATTTAAAACAATATTTTGGTAAGATTAGGTCATCTTTATGTGGTTGTATTTAAACAAAGTTGCTACTGCTTCCCTAATAATACGTATATCTGAACGTCATCGGTTGCTTACCTCGCCTTCTCCTTTCTCGCCAGTCGGTGCGCCATCAGTCATAAGAATTATACGTGGCGTCAAAGGCTTACCAGCCACTTTCACAACACCGCCTGGAGATAATTATTTTATGTTACGTTGCGTATCGAAATATAGTGGCGAAGCAAATTTGCGCTAACCCCCGCATACTATCGGCCATCATCGCTTAATATCGCCCACCCTCAAATATTATCGCCCACCCTCATATATTATGGCCCATCATCGCCCACCATCGCATATCTGCCATCATACAAATGTATTATTGGGCACAGTGTACAGTACATGATGGTTAGATATATTGTTGGTACAGTAACAGCAAAAAAGAAACAGACATGTCAGACAGATATAGGTCAATGGCATTAGTGAATAAAATAAAATTTGAACTTACCGTGTTCTAGAATTTCTTCCATACATTTCATGAGACCAGAAAACATTGGTGTTCGTCCTCCAGCTGTTAAACCGTCTGAAAGGTAAATTAATGGTTTCCCTCAGTGTTACGTATAGGAATTCAATACATATCAGCGGATCTACAATAGCGCTGGTTTTAGAGACAGTATCCATCTCTCTATGAATTGCATGGTAAATTGACATTCGAAAACAAAATTCTGATAGGCTGTGTGGTTTGCATAAGAATACAAGTATGTGATTTACAATCTCCATATCAATAGAAAGGATGATTTAAAATTCACATACAAACAGACACATAAATGATTGATAAGAATGAACCACTGTGATAGTCAAATACACCTGTATTACTTGCTCGATATTTCGCATTGTCATTTAGTAACCATGAAGTTGTCTTTCTACTTACTTGCGGCTCTCTTCACTTTGTTGTAATCATTTGTTAGCTCCTGTACGATTCTTTCGTTTTTCCCAAATTCGACGACGGCAACATTTTCTTTAATATCACACTCTTTAGCCGTTTCTTCCACGCCTGTACAAAAACAAAAATACTTTAAACAAAGGGAAATTATTGCCAGTATTGTATTGAGCTTCGTTCTGATATATCGTATTGTTTTTATGTTGGTGTGGCATTTTATGCTATTCTTACTTATTTGGCACAACGATAAAATGTACACGTGTTGTTGCAATGTATGTGTGGTGTGATGCTGTTTTTTCCCTGAAACTGTGCTGTTGAATCTGCCGAATAGATGCAGTTAATTTTGTAATGTTTGGCAAGTAATACTGGTCATTTGATGACCTACCTTCCAAGAAAGTGACCACGGCCTTTTTGAGCTCTCGCATACCTCTTCCAGCCATACTCCCAGACGTATCCAGACATAGTATAGTGTCCAGTGGCATGGCGATAGTTTTCAGTTCAACAGTTCAACACTGCATGTAACTATGTTCAAATATCACAGTACGAATGCCACTAGCGTTGAGCTCTACGGTACGTACACCCCACTATGTCAACCGCCTGCCAGGTTACATTGCTGGTAGAAATATTCATAACAATAATCGAATCTATAAACGGATGTAATATTTTGTTTTGTTGAACATTTAAACGTGGTTGGTTTGACCGATATTTACTTCCGCGTACAAGAGACACAATGGACGTGGAGCAAAGTTCACTTTAAAGCAATAACGTCGGCCATTATGCAAGATGTCGGCTGGGGTTTAATTATTGCCTAATCCAAATAAAAGTGGCATTACAGTTAAAGAAAGACGGATAGAACATGTTATTACTGGGACGCACATTCAATTTCTAGTGGGCAGATGTATATGTCGAGTGTTACCAACGCCCTGGTGTGTATATATCAGGTCGTTGTTAAAATTACCTTATTGTGTTTAGTAGTTCCGTCTACAAAAATGGAAGGTAGTTGTACGCACCTACCTTATCCGTACAGTGAAATAACTGTGTAGATCAACTCACGGGATATGTGTCCTATATATTAGGCGAATTTTCTGTGTAACCCGTTGTTGACGTCGACGTGTGTCAGGCGTACCTAGGTCGATTTAACAGAGTTGGGATTGTGTTTTTATGTTCGTCTGTTACAGCGCCGAGTAGCATATATAGAGAGTACTGTCACCAATTCCAGGAATTGAAAACATAGGGGTCAAGCGGAGCAATTTGACGTATGCAAGAGACAATAATATATTCCTCGTCGGAGAATGTCGCTGATGTGGTGTGATGACCTCCTACGATCGAACGTAAAAGATATAACATAGGGTATTGAATAGAGAAGCAAACGCGAAATGAAGTACTGTGACGGTCTCGTGTGCTACAGAGTGACTGAGGCCCATGACAATATTTCCACTTTTACAGAACATTATACAATCCGCGTGGCAATCTACGTAATTTCGAATGGCATATTCATCCCTTATCGGTCTGAGTTCGTCTTCATTATTTGGTGTTACGAATAAAGATTTCCAGCCGAAGCGTAATAGTAGCGTAAATATTTTTACCGGTATATCCATATACTAATAGTGAAAGGGCGGTGGTCGTCGCGCCGAGCGTGTGCGACCTTTGTTTTCAAAAACAATAATTTTTCCACAATCCAATGCGCTATTTTAATGAAAATCACGCGTAAAATCACCTGGGTAATTAAAATTAGAAATTACTCAGTTAAAATTTGGCAACGTCTCAGTTTGTAGTCGTTGGTCTGCGCAACAGTCAAAGTCGCCACTTTGTTTATATGAGTCCAATATCACACGCGAATTATATACAATTTATGAAAGCGACATTGTTTTTTCAAATAATGTATGAATATACCCTGTCAGACACAATATGATGCAATTGGGCTCATGATTTTGAAATATAAAGGCGAATAATGATTTTCAATTGTGAACATTGCTCAATATAATCTTTGATCCATTATCATGTAATTAGAGTTTTGAAACGTTACAATGAGGCTAAACAGTATGGGGGTGAATAGTGAATTGTAACCCGCGTATAGTTTGATGTGTAGACCAACAAAACTCAAAGCACATATGTCAACACCTTCAAACATTTGGCTTTCATACAAAATAGTATTTTAGTTTATTTGTTATTGTTTACTAGTTGTTCCAAAAATACACTGTCGTCATTGGTAAGCTCTTACTATACCACTTAAAACAATCGTATGTCCAGGCAGTTGATACTGAGTGCTAAGATCGGCTCAACAATTCGATCTCAAAGAAAATATTGCTGTGGTACAATTTGGTAGGAGAGTCTGAGCACGTTTATGAAGATAATATATAATATGTTCTTTATATAGGTTTGACGTCACAATCATATATCTTCCTTTATTGTTCCTGGGGTATTTGAAACCAATGAGTGTCATTCCAACTCAGCAGCCAATCAGCGACGACCTTACAGTGAGATGACAATTGCAGTTTCAAATACCCCAGGAAAGTGTTATATGTTCTTCGTGTAATTAGGTGTTCGTATGCAAAGGATTTTTCCACACAAAAACGACGAATTCGGCCGAATCTTGTTAGCGGTTGGCTTAATATTACCCGAATAAAGTGTGAAGTATTTTTTCCTGATTTGTAGGAATCAACTTTATTTATTTAGTTTTATACCGCATTCAAGATGGCGGCCCCCATATAGTAAATATCGCATTTATTTTATTATCACATGTGCACCAGCTGACTGCAGTTACAGCTATTACACTAGTGTAACAAGGAAACAACGCTTCCAAGAACTATGGGAAAAATGGTATATCAAAGCATGGATGAACAATCATGAACAGAACTGAATAAAAAATTAAACACTTCAAAATATTCAAAAATAACATTCAGCAAGAAAACCTATTTTAATCAGATTGACAAGTAATGTATTTACAAAAACTCGATGACAGGCTTATTTGCAAGATTCGACATCAAAACCTAAAATTCCACTATAAAATAGAACTTATGAACAATGTAACACAATTGAAGACGAACAACATTTTACAACCGACTGTACCATATATACAAACGACAATTTTTATATGCAACAGACAAAACCTATACAGAAATATTTCAAGATCTGACCAACTATGAACAAACAAATAATTACAGTCAGTTACTTCGCGAAAAAAAATGTCACATTGTCTTTACCGTGCTAATAATATTTTATAGTGATCTTACTATAGTTATGGAATGTATAATTTGGTAAAATAAAACCATAAACAAAATAAATGTAAAAACGCAGAATATCAGGGGCCACACTATTTGTGTTTGTGCCTCAAATCACCTATACAAAAATACAATTTTCTTTTCCATTGAAGCAGTCAACAAACTGTCTCAACTTGATTTTCAAAGGACTTACTTTTAAATCAAAATCCCTACAAAACCCTAGAGTACAGACTGACTGACATCAAATTTGAGCAGTGTTTCTTTTTTTGCTTATTATGTGTTATAATAGATATTCAATTATTCAGTTAGACAAACGTATTATCCGTTACTGGATGTGTCAAAACCAATTTATTATGGATTGCTGATTTTATGATTTTGGCGTATTCGTGTACAACTTTCAGATGGCAAACACAAATACAAAAATGTTAATCGTCTCAGCACCTTCTGGGAATACATTATTTATAGGAATAAATTTACATCATGTGTATATATGCTTTGAGGTCTATATACCATTCGTACATTAGTTACACCACGTATTGTAATATGTGCCAGGGGGTTCTCTTATCATTGATGTGTTCTTTGATTTGTATTTCCGTTATTAATTATGGATATCGTGGATATCGAATATAATAAATTAACGTATGCTGCTGATCTGCACTGGCTCGGAAGATGAATTCTGATTGGCTAAAAAAACAAAAGACTTGTGGCGTTGAATGCACGTTCATTCTCAGTAATGTTATGCAAATTAGAAATTCAAACTAGCTAATCATTTACAACCTTCCGAGCCAGTGCAGATTAGCCCAACGTATGAACAATCAGTCTATCTGTATCACTGATCAATCTATGAACTTAACCTTACTTGTGTGGGCTTATCGTTTAATATTGTGTAAGGCATATTATAATAATTGGTTTTATTGTGAATTAAAGAAAACGACTATATATAATATAGTTCCCGATATTATAATTTATATCTCATATTACAACAATATTTTTGTTTGCTTTTCTCCCAAACATCAGCCAAAAGAATCATGCCAACTTTACTCGTAGACTGTATTTCGCATTTTTTTAAATTTCTGAATATAAATTTGTCCAAACGTATGTTAATATTGTTGTCTGTCTATTTATTTGTGCATGATGTGGCACACTATTGCAACCATATTATGGGGATGTATCTGCACATGTCACTGTGATTGTGCGCACATGGCAAAAACCGCATTCAGTTCCGTGGGATTGAGACGTGCGTGCAAGGTAAATTGTATTGGATTTTTAATGTGGTATTGTTTACGTGTCACCTCACAGTTCATTTGGCAGTTTAGTGTTAAGCATTGCGCAGCAGCAAACTCAGAGCGCAAAACACCGAATAAATTCAGTCCACGGTAGGTCAAAATATTGTGTTCATACTTTGATGATGTTATGACATAGAACGTGAAATGCGGGAGCAATTCGACTAGAGTGTGAATAACATATATTTTGTTTAAAATATTGTTTCATATGTTATGTATTAATTAGTGCATCCACAATCACGCTGTCGTCGCTGGTAAGCTGAAACCATGCCGCTAGATACAGTGTTGTGTTTGGACACATCTGACTGCATGAGAGGGACGGGAACAAAGGAGCTCAGAACAGCCTGTAAGGAATTTCTGGTGGGGGTATTGCAGACAGCTCAACAGTTTGACCTGAAAGAAAACATCGCTGTGGTAGAATTCGGTAGTAAAGTCAGAATTGTGCAACAGCTCACAAACGACTACGTGAAAGTTGCCAAGGCGATAGGTAAATACTAGGCTTTAAGTTCCTGTTTCTTCAACCCTTGACCTGATAGTAAAATCGATTGTTTAGTACACAACTCGCTGTAACTTAAAATTCCTCACACGATCAAAACAATTGTGTCTGAATGAACCACTGAATTGAAATTTGGTCTCGGGTCAGATTTTTTTGTAAACACAGTGCACTACGTTTGCTGACAAACTGTCCTATAAATGTACGATTCTGTAAGGTTTGTGGTATGTACACACTCATATGTATGTACTCAGGGGTTAGATGTCAGTTTGCATGCTCTATAAACAGCAATAGCTATTTAAAGTATTTTTTAATGAGACCATGTCTAGTAGTGGACACGATTCAAGGAGTTATATCTGCTTGGAACTATATTCGCTGAGGCGTCAATGTTCTTTAAAGCATCTAAAAGTAACCGGCTAAATATGACACAAATTATGGAGGCTACATACAATATATTCGTAATACATGTATTAAAGTACTGAGTC